AGGAGGAGGAGGAGGAGGAGGAGGAGGAGGAGGAGGAGGAGGAGGAGTTGTAGTGGTGGTGAAGACATCAGACACAACCTCTCCCCCATTTTTTTATGCTGCTCTTGCATCAGTCTCCAGGAAGATCAAGACCAGTTCACAGGTTCCCGTTACAATCCAACCTAGGAGAAAAGATTGGGAAAGTGAGGAATGAAACCATTCTGGAGGACATCTATGGTGTCCCCCTGACCAACTTGTGCAGGCTGAAGAAGCTGCTTGGACAAGCAGCAAAACGTTTCAAACCAAAAAGGAAAGTAATCCAGTTGACATGACTCAACTTCCAGGTAACTCTACATATGGATGACTGATAATCTTCATGGACATGTTTCCTTTTGTCAGCATCTGTAACTCTCTGGGTGGAATCTGAGTCCAACTCCACGGGAGGCGGGGCGAGGGGAATTCTTAATGATTTTTCCATTTTTGTGTTTTCATCAAGAGCAGCTTCGCTCTCCAAAAGGAATGCTGAATTGCTGGTATGTTGCAACATAGTTCCGGGTTTTTTGTTTTTTTTTCCCCTAGTGAATCATTTTCTCTGTTGAAGACTTCTATGCTTCTTACTTAGAACAGGAAGTGTCAGTTTTCTTTTATTCTAATAAACGTTTCCTTGTAAAAATAAGATTGATCACCATGATGTGTTAGCACTTATTATTACATTGTTTGTCTAATGCTATCTGTTGAGCTACGCATCCAAAACCTCTCTGCATAATTAGTTCAGAAAGACTTTTTTAAAGTACATTTGGAAACTCCACGCCTATAATTTAAATGAGCTGCCCTGCAGAAAGTTCTCAATCTTGTTCAATCCTTTTCAGGTGTTCGAACTCCGCTCCTTCATTTTCATTTTTCAAGACTTAATCATTCTCAAGTCTTCCCATCTGACTTCATAGCCAAGGAGGTTTTATTACAACCAACAAGAATGGAACTCAGAAATTCACGAGAGGACTTCCTTTTTCCTGATCATTCTTTCTTATGACCTTTCTCTAAACCTGTTCCTTTTTTCTCTGAAATCTTCTTAAAGCACGGTAAAAATGAATACAAGACACAAAGTAGACCTTGACTGACACAGAATAAAGTGAAACAATTATTTCCTGAGATTTGGAAACTACACTGTAGACAATTTGGTCCATAATTTCATTTTCCCCGTAGCCACATCAGTCTGCAGTTTAGTGTATATTCTATATATTCCCAAGTATCATCCCCAAGTCAACTATCTCCCACTTCATACCAGCATATTTGAATTCTGTATCTTAACTACATAACTTTGCATTTGTCTCAGCAATATTTCATTCTGTTATTTTCAGGCTATTTTGTAATATATCAAGATTGTTTGGAATTCCCACCCACCGACTTTTAAGGCTCCCACCCGGCTTTTGTTACTTGAAGATTGGTAAACATTTCTTCCACCTCTTTGTCTAGGCCAGAGGTGGGGAACTATGACCCTTTTGTGACTTGTAGACTTCAACTCCCAGAATTCCTGAGCCAGCATGGAATTCTGGGAGCTGGTCAACACATTGTAAAGGTCTCATAATTCCCCACTCCTGGTTTAGGCCAACAGAAAAAAAAAGACTATGAGATTGAGGATTGATCTTTGTGGCGCCAAATTGAAGCTCCAGTTTTATAAGAAATCATTGATAGACACAATATCTAAGTGATTCTCACAACTTTCCCCTCTGTGAATGTTTATTAAGTATAGAAAACTTATTTCTTCTACCTGAAATGGCTCTTGTGAGATCAGATGGCATGAGTCATACATCAAAGCTCTTTTTTCTTTGAACAAAATATTTTAAGACCAGTTAATTGATAGGGAAATTCCATGTAGAAATTACAGCACACAGCTCTGAATCTATTTCAGGCCAGGGCATGAATCTATCATGATGCACAGAGATGTAGTTCACTGCACAAGGCAAATACAAGTGGAGTTCAGTTTTTATGAAAGGAAGGGGAGAGTAAAGAAGGGCATTTTTATTTTGTGGTTGTCTAGAGAAATATTGACATAACACATAAGAAAAATCAAGTGTGCTAGAACTCTGTTTTACAAAAGACTTAATCAGTGCCCATTATCACAACCATCAAGAAAGAGGTAGGGGCTCTTTGTCCTCTGTAATTTTCTGTGGGAATATCCCTGAGAAAAAGGAGGGGGAAGAGCTGAAGCTAGGGCAACAATCAGATAAGAGGCACCTCAGCCCACAGAAGTAATAGAAGCATCTTAGAAGGGATTCCCTGGAAAATAAAGGTAAGGGGACTGTTCCATATTAGCCGGCTTGAAGACCTGCATTCCTATTGGTCCAGAAAAGCCGGACCGTGATTGGACGTCTTAAACACCCCTGATTGGCTTGTATAGGGCTTGCCGCGATTGGCTACAACCAAGCGCGGCAAACTCAAAGAACTGTCATTGGCTGCCTAGCCACGGCTGGCTCTATAAGAAGAGCTGCCGCGCGCTAGGGTTTTTGTCTCAGAATTCTTCCTGTTAAATAAAGAGCTGTTTGTTCACTACTCAAGCCTCGTTCTTATGGGACCCACCGACCATACTTAACAGGGACAGAATGTGCTTCCAGACTTGCAAGATTCTATTGACAGTTTTGATTAAAGAAAAGAATACAATTACGTTTGTTTCCACTTGGAAACCTCTTTTGGACTTTGTGCTTGAACTGGAGGGGAAAAATGAAACTTTGATTTTGGGTTTTGCTGATCAGATAGCTTTGTTGTTACAGAATCACAGTTCTTAACAGCCCTCTCTAAGAGGTTTTACAGAGTCAGCATATTGCCCCCAACAATCTGGGTCCTCATCTTACTGACTTCGGAAGGAGGGAAGGCTGAGTTATCCTTGAGTGGTGAGAATCGAATTGCTGGCAATTGAATTTCAGTAGCTGCTATGGGAGGGACTTTAACTCTTTTTAGTTTTCAGAATGCCTTTCTGAGCACTTATATAGCTGTGAAGATTTTATACATAGGTCTAATACAACATCTGCTTAGTATGTATTTGTTCAACATGCTTAACCAAGTCATTAACTAACATAATGGCTATATTTGCTCCACATATTAAACGTGGTTAGTTTTAATGTGTGGTAGATTTTTTGTGTGGTTTCATGTGGGGTGCAAGCCTTGGTTATTTTAACCCAGGCTAGTTTATGCTTCAATATATTGTGCAATCTAGAAAATGGGCTACTTGTGAAATCAAATTAAGCATGTTGTGTCAATCCAACCATAATGTGATCCCAGCTGCAGAGGTATATATTTCAAGACATACTGATAGCAACAGCACTTAGACTTATATACCACTTCACAGTGCTTCACAGCCCTCTCTAAGCGTTTTATAGAGTCAGCATATTGCCCCCAACAATTGGCTCATTTTACCGACCTCGGAAGGATGGAAGGCTGAGTCAACCTTGAGCCAGTGCGGATCGAACTGCTCACAGCCAGCGGAATTAACCTGCAATACTGCATTCTAACCACTGCACCACAGAATATAAACTTATGTTATTACCTTATTCTATTGCACAAAGGGAGTTGGAAGTCGAAGCTTTTCTTTTTCCTTTCCCACTATCTACATTGCTTCCTTTCTCCCCATTCCTCCTATTTTCCCATTATTTTCATTTTTCTTTTTATTTCTGTATTTTACATTTTGATTTTGATAAACTAATAAAACACTTAAACCCAGACTTGCAGTATTCTGTTATTGTAACTATGTATATTGTACTTAGTTGTACATAGTACAACTTAGTTGTGCATAGTACAACTTATGATAAAATTGCATTAGTAATAAAATTGCATCATAAATTTGGCTTCTATCTGGACTATTTTGAAGTGCTGACATCCTATGAGAAATATTTAATTTTATACGCCAATAATATATATACCAAAATTTATTTTCCACAGATAAATTAATCCTAAAGTATTATGGAATCTCCAGCTCCAGTGAAGAGAGGAGTGAAAAGACTTGCGAGTTTAGACTCCTTGCGTGGCTGAGTCAACCTTGAGCTGGTGAGAATCGAAATTCTGACAGTTGGCAGAATTAGACTGCAATAATGCATTCTAACCACTGTGCCACTACAGCTCTACATTCATTCATTTTTGTTAATATCTACTCAGTTATAGAATCCTTTCTGTGCAAAGCCTACCATGACACCAAACAAAACTATACAAAAATAAACATTTCAACAGCAGGAACTGGAACTAAAGATGATTTTCTTTTTTAAAACCAGATATTTAAAATTCATGAAGTATATGGATAATACCAGAAATGGTACTATTTGCAGAGAAAGCATTTTATAAGGGAATAAGCTAGGCTTTTTCAAGTTAGCTCAACTGTTGTTGAATTCATGAACATAACCATGTAGCATATGCTTAGCAACAGTACAAAAGCAGTTTACAATTGCCCTTTTGCTGGATTTTAAAAACTTCCTAGTTTAGTTTACATCAGTGGTTCTTAAGTTGTAGACCGTGGACCTCTCTTGACTTCATCGTAGGGGGTCTGAGAAGGCTTGAGGAAATATTATGATTTAAATCTTGAGTTAAGTTTTGGGGGTCCTGGCCATGGTCCATGGACACAAAAGCTATTTAAAGGGGCTCTGTGATGAAGAAATGGTTGACAACCATGGTCTACCTCAGGGGTCAGCAACCCACAGCTCTGGAGCCACATGTGGCTCTTTCATCCCTCAGCTGCAGCTCCATCACTCAAAATGTGTGTCACAACTGCCAATGTATGACACCTGCCGGCGCATGATTTATTGAGCTTTTTGACCCCAGTAGGCCAACCATGAATAAATCCAAGAAAATAAAAGCTTCAGAAGAAAACAGAATGTTTAATTCAAGTACAGATGCTAGTTTTGTGGCCACTCAGGAAATAGTCAAGCATGGGAAGGGTTTTGTGACTCCTGGTGTTTTCTGTGGGAAACAGCTCCAAATGGCTCTGAGTATTTAAGATTGCTGACCCCTGGTCTACATCACTGGAGATCTTCCATCTTTGTACATAGATTCTGAGCCCAGACACGATCCTGTAATCAGACACTGCCCCCTGCTGAAACATGATCAATGTGCCACCAGCAAAAGTTTTGTGGAGGTTATTTTGTTTGCCTACACACCACACTATCATACTTCAATTAGAAGAAGTCCTTTGTGAATTGTGTAATGTCTTATGTTCTGGTAAAGCAGTGATATTGCAATTGACAAAGAACGCCTGAGGTAGCAAAGTGTAATTTTTGAAGGACGTTTGTCCGCTGTATCAACTAGTCCTGTTGCTGATGTTATGCATGCCGAAATATGCCATGTCAACATAAACAGTCCAATCTGATCACATAGTGTCATCTGGAAAACAAAACAAAAGTTTTTCTTTTCAGATAGAGGACTGAAAAAAATGGGAATGTGAGGTCCATTCCCCAAAGAACCATCTGTTGAATCAGTCCTACTACATAAGAGTAGCAGAGTTGCTTGATCATGAAATGGGTAGCATATAAATTTAATAATTAAAAAAATTAACACAACTGTGGCTTTTATCTGAAAAGCCTTACATTTTGATAAGCATTTTAAAGATTACCTCTTTTAATCTTCTGGATGGCTCAATTTTCTCTCAATTAGTTCATTAATTTTATCAACTGCATCATAATATTTAAGTTCTTTCAGACTGGTGGTTAAAGTCTGAAGAGAACCTTTTATCCCATGCATTTCGTGCCAACGTTCCAGTAATTTTATTTTTTGTTCAGAAGAATCGTGTACATTGTCATGGGAGATCTCATCGATTTGAGCTGTACAAATACCCAATTTCCGAACAAGCTTTCTGACTTGGTTCACTTCCATATTACATACAATTTCAGGAATGTGAGGCTTCCAGTTAATATCTGCAAAGGAAAATAAGAACAGCATGCAATTATGATAATCAATGATGTACAAATGAGTAAAAACATTGTCTTCAATCAATTTTAAGTGTGATCCATAGACATAAGGAAGTGAAAAGACATCACTCTAACAACCAAGGTATTTATGGCTATATATTTAGCTAAATTTAAACAAAAATGGTTCCCAAACATAGAATGTATCACACAGCATAGCCAATATAATCTCTTACAGTTTAGCTTCTAAGGGGTTCTAAATGTCTACAAATATTGCAAATTAGCAGACATAGAAAAAGGAGAAGTTAGAAAACTATTCAGGTTTTTTTTAATGTTCTTCTTTTCTCTTTCTCTACTTGTGGTATTTTAATCCTTGTTAAATTTGCTCCATTAGTCTATTTTTCTTTTTATTATCACAGAGAGAGAGAGAGAATGAGAACAAAAGCACGGGTGTCAAACTGGCAGGCTGCGGGCCAGACATTTCACATGCAGGCCACGTCCACCCCGGCTCTGCAGAGGGGAAAAAATGTTGTGATACATCATGTGACACCAAGAGTTTGACACCTGTGACATAGAGTATAAATACAGTGGAGATGTTAACATTAATTAATATTAAAACTTGTATAGATAACAAACACTTTTGGGGCAGGGAAGAAGAATGTATTGTTAAGGCCATGATTTTTGCAAATGTAACATATAGCTGTTGAAACTAGACCATGAGGAAAGATGAACAATAGTAGCAGCAACAAAGCTAATGCTGGAGAAAATGGGTAATAAAGCTATAAAACAAAAGCTTAAATATTTTCCAAAAACCCAATGCAAGCTAATAATTATTAGAGAAGACCCAACAGCAGTTTTTAAAATACCCAATAAAGGACAGTAGCTAGATACTGTCACTGACGGCTGAAGAATGAGCTTAAAAGAATTCAAAGCAGTCTCTGACAGAAATACTTTTGAAATAATGTTTATCAGCTAATGAAGTATCAGAGGCAACTGAATAATAGAATATTTGCAGCAAAGGCCTAGATATAGCATTCCCATGTGTTCAATAAATAACATTGTGCAAGATTACAAACTTGAAAGCTATATTGGATGCGACTTTCTGTGCAGCTTTCTTTCTAGATCTGATCTGGAAATGAGAATGGCATTTAGCAAGACAATGTCAGTGAAAGGAGAGAAAATTTTGATAATCTTTGCTGAGCTGCAAAATGGGTATTAGATGCTGCATGTGGTTCATACTTTGCTCAGTGGGATAGTTGAGAGGAAGCAAATGCTTTATCTGGAGCAAATTCTAGAGCCTAGAACATTAAGAATACCAAGAAGAGTAGCCATGTCCATGGAAGAACTGCAATGTCAAATTTAGCAAGCCAGCCAATTCATTTAGGGCTCGGAAGGACTTCTCCCTTGGGTTCATCTGGTCCCAAGTTGTAAATTATATTAGAAGGTCACCACAAGCCATGTATTAATTGAACTTGGAAAGAAAGTGGAAACCAATTAATGCTAGAGTTATTTGCCTCTATCAAGCTAGAATAGCAAACTTGGATTGGAAAAAATCAATAGAATCGTGAGATTCTAGCAAAGCATTACTAGACCTTTAGCCCTAGTCAAGTTAAGTGGGACGAACAACCCAATTACTACATTTTGCATCAATGAAAGACCATTCAGTACAGAGCAAATGTTAACAGAATAGAATAGAAGTAGAGTAGAATGCCACTCTGTACAGTATAATACAATATGATACAATATAATACTTTATTTGCCTAAGTGTGATTGGACACACAAGGATTTGTCTCTTGTGTAGAAACTCTCACTGTGCATGCAAAACAACAGGTAGAATGACATAACTGAGCTGTTACTATAGCCCAATAAAGCCCAAGCAGAGAAGCATATAAATATATATATATATATATATAATGCAACGATTGTGTTTTAGTTTTTTACGTACCTGGATACTCAATTTTCTTAAGTTCCTAAAAGGAAACAATTAAAAAAAGATGAACCAAATTCACACCACCAAGCTTTGCTTTCTTTTTTTTTCAATATTTAATTTTTATTAAAACTTTTAAACCAGAAAATTGAAGCTAACATAAATTAATAGAAAGTCAGGAAGAAGAAATCAAAGAAAAGGGGAAAGGTGCAAGAAAAGGAAAAAGGTTAAAGAAAAACAGACAAGAAAGAATATGAAGAAGCATCTTCCAATATTCCTTAGTGCAAATTCTGTAAAGCAAATGGCACTTTTTATTAACACGAGGCAAAATATACCTTTTGCTCCCAAACGGTGAAGCTTCTTATCATATCTAAAGAACACTTCAGCAAAAGCAGCATATATGGATTGAATTTGATTTTATTCTTTGTAATAAAGGAGATGGGTCCTGATGTAACCAAACATTATCAAATAAGGGATGGCTTTGAATTCACAGGAAATTGAAAACATTTAACAATTATACTTCATTCCCATCCATTTCATCAGATTTCCACATGTGTGTTTATTGGCCTGTACCCATTATGTTCAACTGATGACTTCTCTTTTTAATCAAATTAATTTTCAATTTGTGGCGAGGAAAGTAAATAAGCAACAAGAATCTCTACAGACGGGAACAGTTTATTGAAACAAGTACTAGTTTACATTCAGGAATAATTTTAAGTCAGGACTGTCCCAGCAGAGACAAAATGTCTGAAGTTAAGGTCTCTATTTTGTTTTCTGGCATCCTATTTTATGCATGCACACATCTCTTACCCATAAGTAAATGAGGTTACTAATGCACAAGTAAATGAGAAACAAAATTCAAAATAATAACTATGGCCTTAAAATGTCACATCATTGAACAAAACAAGCAGCAAAGTTAAAAAAACAAACTCATTGCTTAAATACATAAATAAACACACAAATAAAAAACAAATACATACATACATACATATACATACATACATACAGGCATACAGGCATAGTAGGTACAGTATGTAGTTCAAAATTTTCTCAATGTCTGACAGAACCCATTCTTTTCTTGACAAAGAAAAGGGTATTACAGTTTTGGGATGTGTATGGAGACCCATGTTATTTTTATGGGGCACTTAGATAGCATGGTCATAGCAATGATTTTGACTTTTTGACCCTTCAGTAGATGTCCCTGCACAGATGATCATTTCTACTAAGCGGGTCTCATACCTTACCTCAAGGATTAGTAAGGATATCTGGAGGAAACCTCCTCCCCAAACCACTGGGCAATTTAAAGATAAGAACCACAAGGAAGCATTAGCAGTGGAAAAACACTATTACTATCATTAGGAGCTCGACAGAAACTTTTATGTACTTGTTGGTTCAATGCCTTGGGTTAGTCTCTATCACCCTTCTTAGTTCTCTGGATTACTTCAAAAAAGGAGACTCACATATGATTCATCGTTAGGGCCCTTTTGATTTCGCTTCCTTTGAATTCTGTACCCTGGACCTACAAAGGAACACAAAGAATTATTTTCTAGACAGTCCTCAAATAACCAGAAATGGCATATTAGGAATGTGCTTATATTAAGTATGAAATGCAGTAATTTCATGTGAAATTTCTGGAATTTATGATGACTGGATTTCTTAAACTTACTTTTAATTTACTTCTATTTGACACCTTAAAATGGCAGGATGCTCAAAAAGGATGTTGGAAGAGGCACCCAAACATAGAACTGAGATGGTGTATATGGCACTGGGATCTCAAGTTGCCAGTGCCTGACAAGGAGCTTATGGTTGACTCCTATTTTTTAGGGATGTTGTCTGTATCTAATTCCATCTTTTATTTAATGCACAAGCTACAAAATCTGGTTGGTGTAGTCTTGACACAATAAAGGTATACAAACATGAGAGCTGGTAGAATAGGAGCAACAAGTATCTGACCCAAATTTTGCCTTCAAGCAAATATCTGCTGCCACATATGGGTGCTGGTATACTTTGTTACCAGGCAGTGACAGTCTGCCATGAGCTTTGGCGAGGGTGGATGGGAAGGAGAATTCTTGAGGGAAAGAGAAAGTAACTGCTGTATCTGCCTGAGACACTGCTTCAAAGTCACCGGGCTGGGAGAAGAAGGCAGCTGAATACCAACTTATGCTTGAAGTGGTTGAACCTGATTGGTTACGGGGTGGATCAGCGATAGGAGACAGTTAAGGGAAGGAAATGTTGAACTTCGGGATTTGGGCATGCAATTCTCAGTTCTGGCATACTGCAATACACTTGACTACTAATAAAATTAAAATCTTTCTCAACAAATGGAGCCAAGGATCATTTCTATTTAGAGGATAAAGTGCAGGCAGATCTGACAGTTGATTCAAATGCTGCCATGATAAATCTTCTATTCATTCCATAAGGGACCATACTTTTAAATCAGGTGATGCCAAAGGATAGGATAAAGCGAGTAGACAATATTCTTGGATTCCCTTCAATTTGCTGTCCAAGATAAGAATTTTTTCTCTACCTTAAAGAAGAACCTTGACTTCCAAAATTGTTGAAACAATTGGATTTTAAATGTAGGATGAAAGCTTTGGGAGATAGTTGTTCCTCTGCATATTTGCTGACTTAAAATAATAATAAAATTTATATTGCATTTTTTAAAGGAAAGTGATATCCACTTACAACAGCACCACCATAAAATCAGTCCCACAATCACTGCAAGAAGCAGAATTAACCAAAGCCATCGCAAATCGTCTGTGAAGAAGAATATTGAATAACATCACATTTTCCAATCCATATGGGTCAATGTGCAGGTTTTTGAATCTGTTCTGTTAAACAAAGCAACAAATGCAGTGCTAAAAATGGAAACAGAAACCACACCTGGCAGAATTGTCAACATTCCTTTGAATGAAACAGAATACAGGTAGCCCTTGACTTACAGAGAGAATTTGGGGCCAGAATTTCTGTTGCTAAGCAAGGGGGTTGTAAAATGAATTGATCAGTTTTGCATTAAGCAAAACACTGAAGTTGTTAAAGGAATCATGTAGACGTTAAGCAAAGCTGGTTTTGCCCATTGACTTTGCTTGTCAGAAGCCATCTGGGAGAGTCACAAATGGCAGTCATATGAATCTGAGAGGCTGCTGCCAAGTGCCCAAATTTTGATCATGTGACTGTGGGCATGTTATGCTGGTTGTAAGTACGAGGACTGGTCATAACTCACCTTTTTCGGTGCTATTGTAAGTTCGAACAGCCACTTGTCAAGGTTCTAAGTCAAGGACTAATGGTATAATTAATTACCCATTTATACTACCATTTCAAACCATGAGCATTTGCTAATCCCATGCTGATGTCCAATTATGTGCTGAACAGACATATAGTAGTGATAGTATACATTCTATAGCAGGGGTGTCAAACTTGATTTCATCTAGGGTTGTGTTTGACCTCAGGGAGCTGGGGTGGGCATGGTCAGGGTGGGCATGGCCAGCTCGACGTCACTTATGTTGGGGGTACTTGTGGTGGCCTGAGTGCTCTTCCAGAGAAAATGGGTTCCCAAGCTCCATTTTTGGCTGCAACAGTGGCCCTTCCGAGCTCCATTTTCACTGGCAGAGGCACCGTGGGCCAATCCTTCACTGCTTGCAGGCCAGACCTAAGCAACCCAAGGGCTGGTTCCAGCCCCCAGGCCTTGATTTTGACACTCCTGTTCTATAGGTAAGATCTCTTTTGACTTGAACTAATTTTTGATGATTCATAGGCATATCCTAGATAGTTATAATGTTGTTCAAACTCTATAGACATACTCAAACTCTTTGGAAGATGAAGCAAGTTTGACAGTGATTCTTCTGACAATTGGCCAAGTATCTGCAAAATCCAGATACTTAGTGAAATCCAAATTTGGGCGTTCATCACCTTGACAAGCGACTGTTCGAACTTACAATAGCACTGAAAAAGGTGAGTTATGACCAGCCCTCGTACTTACAACCATGGAAAGAGTCATGGAAAGAGTCATTTAACTCTTAATAGATTTTAAATTGTTTCAAAAATGAGTACTAGGTCAAAACTGTTTGCTTCCATTCGATTCACCCAGGCTGAATATTCAGCAAAAATAATGAGGGGCCAAATTTCTGCAATTGTCAATGATCAGAAGAGGAATCAAAGGCAGGTGAGATGGAGGTTGAACCTCAATAAACATTTATTTATGCAAAGTGTTATTCAACGCTTACTGATATTGAAGAGTGGGTTTGATGCCTTCTGGGAAAGATTGATAAAGGACCCAGGCTTCCATCCAAAGAGAAGAGGCAGCACAACAATTGATCAATTCTGCCTTCGCCTCACTGCCTGGTCATTCCAGTGGTCTTTAGTGGGAAGCCATGTTGGAAGGCATCCCTGTCTTCAGACTGGCAGAAGTCTATCCAACACCAGGTTTAATCCAGCACAAGATTAGATCCAACCATATTATTCAATTTTAGAGACAAACTGATTTTGGACTCCATTACTTTCCTGGTCCCCTTTGCTTGCTAAGTAGATGAACTGAAAGGAAGTAACAGCAGAGAAAGTGCTTTGGGCAGACTAGCTGTTAAGAGTTTCAATGAGCTGAAACATGGCCTTGCATACGTTCAAATTAGGTTCTTTCCCATGGGCTTCAACAGGGAGGAGTATCAAACAAACTCAAGATGAAAGTTACAATCATTAATCAAAGACCCATCACATGAATCACAAAAAGAGGTGAGGTTTCCGTCATGGTAGTTGTGCTGCCACAACCTCCTCAGTTACCCCTTATATCCCTTCCTTTCTGGAGCATTAATTAAACATTGTTCATTAATCAAATCAAGTTACCTTTTGCGCTATCTTTTTTTCCACAAACCGTGTTTTGTGTTGGGGTGCAGTCTTTTTCAATGATCCCGTTTTCACACCTTCAAATAAAAAAGTGAATAATAATGAAGAGGTCCAAACAGAGAAAGCTTTTCATCTGATCCAATGCTTCCTTCTTGAATTTTGCTGTATTCTGCAGTCTTGATGGATCAAATTGGTGAGAGGTACAATGAAATGCCTGCTGACAAGGAAGGTTCCCACAATCTCCCACAATGTGAATATATGAAGAAAAGAAAGTGAAGACTGTACACTCTGCTTGTGTTTGCCTTCTCAGCTTAAAAAAAAGGTTCTGAGCATCCAAAATCAACCTTAGGATTTGGCTTATCCTGTCAGTTGCTGATATGAGTCAAGAGATTTGGTGGTGTATAAATTCAATAAATAGATAAGTAACGTTTATTTATAAAAGTTACATCAGAGCCTTTGCCATAAAAATGTTACATTTAAATTTACAAGAAGGAACTTGCAACACTCAGAGAAGAGGCATGTGATAACCCATGACTATTAAAGATGCTGAGCTTGTCAGCTGGAAAGCTGACAGTCCGGATTTGAGACCCGAGTGCTGCATAAGAAATGGAAGTGAATTCCCATTTCTTGCTCCAGCTCCTGCCCACCTAGTGGGTTTGAAAGAATGGAAGTGCAAGTAGATAAATAGGTATCACTTTGGTAGGAAAGTAACAAAATTCTATGTCCATCAGCATATAATCATGCTGGTCACAGGACCGCTGACATTCTTCAAAAAATGCTGGCTCCTTTGGCTAAGAAATGGAGATGAGCAACTTCTTCGCAACCCAGAGTCAGATTTTATGTCACGGATAAGATCAGGTGACATATCTGGAATTTCCCAAAATGGAACCATTCCAGGTTTCACATGATAAAAGAAAAGAGGAAAATTCAGATTATGCCAATGGGAAATCTTGTCAGATTTTACAATGATACAATTGAATTTGTACATTGAATAATATGAATCAGAAAACTGATTCCAATTTGATTTAAAACTTCAAACTGAAACATGACATTGGTTTGATTTGATTCTGACTGCTGATTTGGTTTAGGAAAATATGCCTTTGTGTCTGTGCAGAGGTGTCTCACTCAATCCATCAATTAGAATAAATTTTCTCCAGTTCAATCACCTGGTTCTTTTTAATGAAGTTGTCTTGCACTTTAATCTCCATCATAACTATTTGCACAGCTGTAGATATGGGAAGTCCTTATGATCCCTTGGAAGTTACAAAGGTGCTGAAAAAACTGATTTATGATTGGTCCTTGAATTTGACTGTTCAGTGCCCCATGGTCATGTAATCAAAATTTGGCAACCAGCATGCATTTAGGGCATTTGCAATGTCCTGAGGTCACATGAATTCCTTTTACAATCTTCCCAGAAAGCTTCTAACAGACAAAGTCAATGGGGGGAGCTGGATTTGCTTAACAATTTTGTGATTTGCTTAACAATTTTGTGATTTGCTTAACAATTTTGTGATTTGCTTAAGTATTTCAGCAAAAAAGTCATAAGCTAGGCATGACTCGCTGAATGTGAGCACTTAGAAATAGAAGTTTCAGTCATATTTGTGGCCATATGTGAGAACTACCTAAATAACCTTTTTTCAAACAACAATTCAACAACCCCAAACCACAGACTCGCCTGAAATAGTAAAATACATGACACAAAAGTGAGATTAATTCTCAACCATAATGCGCCTCCTGGTGTTTGATAAGTTATTGTGCATCTTCTGTCCCAGAGGTAATGACAGATTGAAGGAGGCATCTCACAGAATCTCATAAAGTCTACTGTTCTTGGGGATTTAGAAAAGACATTAACATTTAAGATTTAGAGAAAGTAAAGCAGTAGTTATGAGAGAGACAGAGTGAGAGGGAGGGAGGGAGGGAGAGAGAGAGAGAGAGGCACTAGTGTTATACAGTGGAGTTGAAGAATTCCAATACGGAGAGTATTAGATGGTTATTTTATACCATGTACACTAGTCTAATGTAATAGAAGATGCTGAAGGAAAACCGAGTTATTCACCTTATCAGAAATGCCTATAGAAGTAGAAGGTCTTAGTCAGAAAAAGTACCTAGGGCCATCTACCTATCTTACAATCTTCCCATGTGGATAATACATATATCTGAGAGTATAATTATTATAGGAAGTTACTTTTATATGGCTATGGCTTAATTTTCATGACTTGCAAGTACATCTTAATGCTTCAAACATTTAATTTTGTTCAAGTTCTGATTTCTTGATATAATTTTTTTTTTATCATATGACTATGGAAATACTGCAAAGGCCAGAAGTGTGGGGCCTGGTTCTACAAATACTTGTTCAGCTTTTTTGGAAGTCTGAATAATTGTGCTAAATGTGTGGATATCAAAATCCCTCACCCATCTGCTTCAGTCTGTGGAGATTCTCAGTCATCCAGGTCATAGTTGTCTCAACGATGCTTTTTCAAAAGGCAACTGGACTGTGTTTTTCCTTGAGGAAAAAGAAAATGTTTTGCTTCTCATCCAAGAAATTTCATCAGTTCTGGCGCGATGGTGGGGGTGATGGAAGGATGGATGGGGTGGAGTTAGAAGGATCATGTTTCTTTGCAGTCATCTGGTCATTATGTCAGCTTTGGAAGGCATATTAGCACCAGAAGCTTCCACGCTGCCATCTTCTTGAGCGTGGGAAGATGGGAGGGGGGAATTTCATGGAATGTATGTGGTTAGATACAATAATAGCATTCTTCTTTAGAATCAAGGTCATGTAGTTCCTGCACCTGGCTGAGGAGTAGTAGAAGGGACGTCTCAAGTTGGGAAGGATGGTGATTGGGGCATGTGAATGCAATGAGGAATGCAGGGGGTGGATTTGTAATATTTTATTTATTGGAGGGAAACCCGGGACTTTCAGATTTGGGATTTCCCAGATGTGCCAGTTTATTACTCTAATAAAAGGGAACTTTGAGAAAATGTCTGGTTCGGAGTTATCTGTTAGAGTGGAGTTTTTCTGGAATACTGACACATTAGCTGAGAGCTCTTGAGGCCACTTGGGGATTTATCCGTGCACTCAAGGTCACTTATATCAGAGTGCAAATGGGGGTGGAATCTTTTGAAACTGCTGGAAGGATTGGAAGCAGCCCTCTCTCAACAGGAGAAGGCATAAAACACTACCTATCTCCTGTCTACCACACAGTCCTTTCAGCAGTTCCAGGAAGATTCCAACTAATCCTTCCCTCACCATTTTGCCAGAACCAATGAAGCTTCTTGGATGAGAAGCGAAACATCTTCTTCCTAAAGGAAAAGAAAAACACCGCCCAGTGCCTTTTGAAAAAGCATCTTTGAGGCATCTGCTTGAGTTTCCTTACTATTTCCCTTTTCTTCCTCTAATGATTACAGGCAGCTAGAGGTCATCCTCCACATTTCCATTTCCTTGTCTACTGGTGCTTCCTGCCCCTCCCTCCCAAATATTTTCAGGTTTCATAGCCCTCCCTCCTTCAGCCTGAGAAATGCAAGGGATGAAGAAGATCTCCATCTCTTCGGAAGCTTATAGATTTCCTCTGGTATTCCTACCTACCTCTTCCTGATTGAATAAGATCCTTACTATCCTCACCTGATTGAACAGATTCTTCCCAATATCAAAGCCTGATAGAGAATAGCCAAATTTCCATTGACTCAGAAAGGGGAAAAGAAATGGTTTAGAGATTAAATCCTGGGGGGAGACACACAATTATGGAATATGTGTGAGTGTTATGTGGATGTGACATGTCCATCTATCACGGGGTGTCAAATTGGTGGCACACAGGCCAGATGTATCACACACATGCCATACCCACCCCAGCTCTGCCAGAGGGGAAAAAAAGTCATCATACGTGACGTGGTGAGTTTGACACCCGTGATCTATCAGATTGATTTCTGAGTTCTGCAATAAGAAATCTTTCTAGGACTTCTTGTTTGCAATAAGCAAAACAAGAGGTGAACCTTCAGGTAGGTTGAACAGAGATAAATTGTCACATCTGAACTGAAATATATGAGTATCTAGTTTTGTCACACTTCGTAGGTGTACTTACTGATCACATTTCTCACAGTGGCGGCACGGCTTAGGAGAATTGCAAAAGAAACCAATCCTACACCTACATTGTACATTCTGGGTGATGGTACAGTTTTTTTCAGTTTCCATCCCTAAAATAAATGGAAATATTTTGTTATTCAAATATTTTTTTTTAAAAAAAACCATTTTTAAATGCCTGCCAAGCTTTGAAGACCACGCACCCTCTCAAGGAAAATAATACTCTTCTTCAAATTCATGAAAGAATTTCAAACAAAAGACATAAGGTTATTCTTTGCACATCCACTGGCTGTGTAAAATGTAATAGATGTTTGACTGAACATTCAGAGAAACTCTTAAATCCAAAACATGTCATCCACAAAGCCAATCTCGACTTGAAAACATGCCTGTGTGTTTGGAAAAATATCTCATGAAGGTCCTTTAACTCTGTACTTCCTGCATCAAACCAGGGCTTGAACAAAGTGGTTTTCAAATTGGTCTCCAATTCTGGGATTGTCAGGTTTTTAAAAAATGCTAAAGTCTGCACCAAACATCAGACTGTATTTCTTTCCAGCTATCATACATCAGTACACAAACCAGAGGTGGTATTCAGCAGGTTCTGACCAGTTCTGGAGAACCTGTAGTGGATATTTTGAATAGTTTGGAGAACCGGCAAATACCACCTCTGACTGGCCCCGCCCCCATCTATTCTCTGCCTCCTGAGTCCCAGATGATTGGCTGGGTCTTCTTTTGTTGCCCCAGACAGGAGAACGGAGCTGGAAAGTAGGTTAATGGGGTAGGGAGGGAATGGGGATTTTGCAGTATCCTTCCCCTGCCACACCTACAGAACCGGTGATAAAATTATTTTGAATCCCACCACTGACACAAACATGCTTACAGGTTTTTAAGTTGTATTCAGAACAATCTATTTTGCTGTTGGTGTTCACAGATATTGGCAGCTTGTGAGGGCCAAATGAACTAAATATCCTTTTCTCTTGTGTGAAATACATTGAGATCGAAATAACATATTGTTGATCATACATACCATGTTCTGCATCACAGTAATTACATCGTAGGCAAGTAGACATATAATTGTCTTTATCCATATAATCTTTACCCTCAGTGCAAAGTTTGCAATTGGTTTTAGGATTCCTTGTGCAATCTGATGATTTGGCAACAGAACCTGTAAAAGAAAATGCTTCAGAAAAGGCCAGTAAAATCCTTCTGATTAGGAACACGGCAAATTTTGGCCTGGGGAGACATTTGAAACATGGAGAACATCCTGTAAGAATTTTCATAGATTAGTTACTGTGAAATCCATAGGTAACTACAAATGGTACTGTTATGTCCTGAGGACTCAAGGAGTTCTCACTCAGGTCCACTCACT